TTTCTTTCTTTCTTTCTTTCTTTCTTTCTTTCTTTCTTTCTTTCTTTTTTTCTTCCTTCCTTCTCTCTCTTTCTCTCTCTTTCCCTTCCTTCCTTCCTTCCTTCCTTCCTTCTTTCCTTCCCTTTTCCCTTCCCTTTTTCCTTCCTTCCTTCCTTCCTTCCTTCCTTCCTTCCTTCCTTCCTCTCCCTTCCCTCCCTCCCTCCCTACCTATGTAGCTCTGACATGGAACTCACTGTGTAGACCAGGTTAGCTTCAAATTCACAGACATCTGCCGGCCTCCACCTCCCGAGTGCTGAGAGTAAATAAATGTGTGTGCTACTACACTCCACCGTGGTATTTAATTGCATTTCCTATGCAGGTGTGTGCATGCATAGCACAGTGCTTGAGTGCGGCTCAGAGGACACTTGGTGAAATCTCTTCTCTCCTTTCAGCATTTGAGCCCCAGTGCCTTGCCCACTGAACCAGCTTACTGGCCTGACGATATATCTTTTATTTTTTTTGTTGAAATAATACTTTTATTTCTTCTTTGAGAATTTCATAGAATATATTATCATATTCTTTTTGTTGTTTTGTTTGTTTTCAAGACAGGTTCTCTGTGTACCTTTGGCTGTCTTGGACCAGGCTGGCCTCAAACTACAGAGATCGATCGCCCTGCCTCTGCCTCCCAGAGTGCTGGGATTATAGGCGTTCAGGACTCTATTATATTATATTCTTTACCTTCCTCAACGCCTCCCAGATCCCCTCTTGCCTTGCTACCCACACACTTTCGTGTTCTTTCTCCTTTAAACAAACACATGGAGTCCAATTTGGTTTGGCTGACAACTCCTGAGAACGGGGCCTGCCCAGGAGTGTAGTGGCACATTTGTCACTCCATTGAAGAAAATCAATTCTTCCTTTCCAAGCAGCTGTCATTTAAGAATAGTTCTTGAGAGAGAGAGAGATTTTGTGTCCACTTCCCCACCTCCAAGTTGGGCCTCTGGTTTGAGCAGGTCTTGGGCATGTTGCCACAGTCTGAGTTCATTTGTGTATCTGCTATGGAAAACACTGTTTCCCAAAAGTCATTTACCACCTTTTTCTATCTTTCTGCCCCATCTTCTGCAGAGAGCTCTGAGCCCTGAGGGAAGAGATATGCTAGAGACATTCCATTTAGTGCTGATCTTAAGAGTGGAGGAGAGGGCTGGGAATAGAGTTTAGTGGTAGAACATTTGTGTAGCATGCACAAGCCTTGGGTTCAGGTCCCAATACCACAAAAAAAAAAAAAAAAAAAAAAAAAAAGGGCAAAGGTACCCACTATGTAAATCAGTATAGAATTTCCTCAAAAACAAATAAAAAATACTACCAAGTGAGTTCCAAGACTTACATAGATCCTGTCTGTAAGAAATATATATGTGCCACATGTGGTGATGCAGTCTTTAATCCTAGCACTTGGGAGGCACAGGCAGGCAGATCTCTGAGTTTGAGGCCAGCCTAATAAGACATACACACACTCCCACAGATTGTTTACTGAATAAAGACATGAGGTATTTGTTTACTGGAAAGATAATGAATGCCAATCTTAGTTTTATCATTTACCATATAACTTTATTTTCATCTCTCTCTGTGTGTGTGTGTGTGTGTGTGTGTGTGTGTGTGTGTGTGTA